TACATTTGTGATGAATGACTAAATTTTGATCCCTGAAATTCTTGGTAATACCAATGTTCACTTTGTCTGGTTTTGTTACAGCATGCCCCATGTATAGGTCAAGTAAGAGATCTAACTCATCAATGTGGTCAAAAAAACAGTTTGATCCAATCTTCCATGGTACAAAGCCAGATCTTATAATCAGAACAAATCTAAATGATTATATTGAACTGATGTTTATTGAGATCAAGCCGCCAAATACAAAAGAGGCTTTAATAAATGAAGATTTGGTATATCTTGGGAAAACAATGAAGTCTGCCCTTGATAAAGCCATTGAAGATGGGCTTGAAGATATTGTTATCTGTGGCATACAAGTAGCTGGTGAGTAATATATAATTTTTATGAACAATAATCATACAAATAATTCTTTTCTGATATTCACAAACATTTACAGGGTTTCTGAGCAGATGTTACATCATGGATTTGTGTTATGAAGGCATATATCGAATGATATTAATAGGAGAATTTCATATTCCCAATGGTGTAGCAACATGGGGTCTAAGGTTTCTGGTCCAAACTGTTTTCTCAAAGCCCAAACTAGTTTGGGCAATTTGGGGCTTCTCAACATTTTCTATAAGCATGAGCATTAAAAAACTATATGAATCAACTTGTTTTAACTTGAACAACTTTAAAATAATTTCGCCCAATTTCAGCTAACAACAAAAAGTAGTTTGGGCTCATAAAAAAATAATTTTTGCGCAAAGTATTTGGGCAATTTCAGTTACTAATAGAAGCAGTTTTGACCAGGAACCTTAATGGGGTCTAATGATGAAATGTTTTCATGTGCTAAACACAATTCAAGTAGGTAACAAAACTGCAAAACTGACAAATATAGATGGTTCCATTGTTTATGTTATAATATTTTTATTTTAGGAACTAGTTGACAAAGGGGTTAAGTCATATCAATCAATTGTTAGAAAGACGATTACACCTACCAAATCATTGAAAACGCAAATGACAAAAGCTGCATTCCTCAGTCCCATAAAAGTACCAATGCAACAATATGATTTAAGTGGAAGTAGAAATGAAAAGCCACATAAAAGGATCAATACAACAAGTGGAAGTAGAAAGTGAGAGTTTTGTTCTAATTTATATATAATATATTTAAACATGACCTCAAAGAAATATATCTGATCATTATTTATCTTTGTATAGTCATTATACCCGAAGTTATAAAGCAAGTACTATATCTGCATGAAAAAATTACTTGTGGTTTAAAAAAAAAGTTTGAAAGAACTGTGCGAGGAATAGTTTACATTGCATGCTCATTAATTTAGAAAATTACTGTTTGAACTATTACTATTATTATTTTTTTTTTCATAAGTTGTACATTTATATGTCCGTGGACTTTTTTGACTGTCCGTGTCTGTGTCCACAGATGTCTGAATTCTTGTCCAGCTTAGAAATCTATCCTAAAAAAACACAGCTATATGTAAAAATCAATTCTGAACGCTTTTAATTGATAGCCCAAAGCAGGTTGTCATAATATAGAATTATGTTTTCCATGTTTTGTTTTGGGCACTCACTGTCCGCAGATGTCCAAGAATATCCCATGTACAACACTGAATATTAGTAATTCCAAAATTGTAGGTGACGAAAACAATAAGTTTAAAGAATTAATATTTTCTTTTTATAACAAGAGATAGATATAAACATAGATATAAAACAATACAAATAGCACAAGTAAATTTAATAAAAGAGAATCATTATTTATTATTTAAAACAATAATAATAAAAAATTAACCATAAAATGTTGGGGTTAGAAAGAAAAAATAACATTTATTATTTTTCTTTCTTTTTGGTAAATTTCATAAGCAATTCTTTCTTTTCTTAGATAAGCTTCCAGCATCTGAGTATCATTTATTTTGAAAATGTAAGGTGCAATTTTTTCACCTTGTTCCTTTTTTAGAATACTTCTAATGGTGCTATAATTCTTGGGTTCCATAGTAGATCTGATATAAATGAGTTTCATATTAACTATTTTTATATAGAGGTAATTCTATATATTAAGAGGATAACAAATGGAAGATTTTAATAACCACATTACTAAATTTTGATCCCTGAAATCTTTGGTAATACCAATGTTCACTTTGTCTGGTTTTGTTGCAGCATGCCCCATATGTTTTCCCAGGCCAAGGCTCTATCCCTACGAACTGAGGGATAAAGATGTAACCTTTTGGAAATTGTCTGCATGGGCTGATATTCCATAAAAAGAACCTTTCTGTATATAATATTTTCCATTTATAAATGGCAGATTCAAATAATAAAAATAATAAATAATAAAATATTAGTTTTTATTTTTTTACATGAAAAAATCTCCTTTCTTTATTTAAAGATAAAGATATTATCCTGTCCTTAAACTTAATCAAGATTGCTGAAAAGAAATCATTTTATTTATGTTGTAAAAAATTTTTGCAGAGAATCATCTACAAATTACAAAATTGAAAATGAAGGCATGAGGAGTATCTTCCTAAATATATTATCAATAAAACGTTCTTGGGTAATTCCTAATCTATTCATTGTTTGCTTTGTGGGAATAATAAGAGTGTTTATATAGCTACAGCCCATGCGGACAATTTCCAGAAGGTTACACCTTTATCCCTCAGTTCATAGGGATAGAGCCTCGGCCTGGAAAAACATATAAGAGGGATATCCCCCCTTATTGATCTTATTGATCTTTGGGTATTGGTCAGATAATTCACTCAAGATATATGGACCAGGGCTGTATCCAGGGATAAAAGTCTGACCTACCTGGAAATCATCCGCATATGGTGCAGTTTTGGCAAAATAACTGAGTTTCGAATTATTAGTTTCTATAACTTTTTTTTTCTGAATTTCGGCATTATCACAATTTAGTTTAGGCAAACTTCTATATACTAAAACCTCTCTAAGAAAAGTTTCATTATAAAATATTTAGTCTTTTTTTTACCACGACCTTTCATTTCAATGTTCCATTAAATATGAATTGTCATTTATAATTCTGCATGTAATAAAAAAAAATTGTAATTAATAAATGTACAGAAGAAAACCAGAGTTATGAATAAAATAAAATTAATGACTAAGAATTCGATGGATATACTCATAAAATTAATCGAAAAAGTTGGATTGTAACAAAGAGAGGTAAGTGTAAAAAAACTACAGATTGTTGTGGATAATTTCTGTAAAAATTCGACGTAATGAGTTGTTGGAGGTGACTGACGCTCCAGAAAAATCTCCTTCTCTTCTGACTATTCTAGCAGTGGTACTTCATTCCAAGGTTAGGTTCGTAATTTTTGCTGAATGTATTGAGTACTTTTGCATTACGTGACTGATACATTCATTCATAAAGGTTGGGATGCATTTCGGGAAAATTTGTCACCAAAAAGGGAAGGTTTTAGTCATATGTACTTTTATTTAAATCACAAAAACCTCTCTATTATCATACCAATAATCCCTCTAATCCTCACATAATATTTTATACAACAACAACACATATAATCATCTCCTATTTGTATGCTCATTACACAATTTTATTGATGTGATTGGTATTTTTTATTTTCTCCTATGTCAAAAAACACATCTGAGGCATGGATAAATCAGAGTTTGTTGAGTATTTTACATGGAATTTTTATGGATACACCTCATATTAAGTAGAATCGCATTTATCAGTTTCTATGCCCCTATTTCCTTATTTCATCTAAATGTCCAGTGGGAGCATCATCCATTAGGAAAAAAATAAAAACCGTATATTATAACTTGATCCAACAATAAAGGTCATACATAACCTTGATATACTCGCTTTGTTGCATCATGTCCCATATATTTTATATACATATGTTGTACGTGAAAATGAAATTATGTGAAATTCAAATTAGCCAATCAGAATTTCACCCCAATCCAATTTCAATTTCACATACAACATATATATATATATATACATATATTAAAGACATTTTTAAAAAATTACTGCAACATTTAAATCCAAACAATATTCTCTCACTATATATTAACATACACTCGTCATATTCAGTGTTAATGAAATAATAATATTAAATTTTATTTATTAAAAATCAATTGTTAATATTCTATGTATTTTAAGAGTATTCAATAACTGCTTCAACTTTTTATTGATTGTAAATATATATATGTGTGTGTGTGTGATGATAAAATTACGAATTTTATTAATCAAATAAACCAAAGCCCATGTCCTATTAAAAAATAAAAATCGATTGTTAAAATTTAAACGTCCAAATATATATTCATTTGTTACTTTAATCAATACTTACATCATCAGATTCTTCTTTCTCTTCTTCTTTAGTATCTTCAACAGGAGCAGATTCAGCTGCACCACCACCACCACCACCAGCACCACCACCACCTGAAGAAACAACACCACCACCGGATGGAACAGACGAAAGTTTAGATGTACCCTCAGCAATTAACTAGAAAATAAATTTTTTTTTAGTAAATTTTAAATTAAATTAAATTACTTGAAAAAAAAAATTTATAAAATTAATTAATTACTTCAGTTAGATCTTTTCCATCTAACTCTGATAGTAGAGTTTTGATTCTAGCATCATCACCTTCAATACCAACAGTTTTAAGAAGAGCTTTGATACTTTTAGCATCAGGAGTTTTTCCTGCAAGGGTAAGCAATAAGTATGCTGCGAGGTGCTTCATTATTTCTTAAATTCTAATTATTTAAAAAAAAAAGATATGTATTATTTATCATAAGTCACAATCTAAAATTAAATAATGTCACATAATGTCGATCAAAAATAATGATGTGATGTTACAAGTCGGATTACTACAAGTTGCAATTTTACGAAAAATAATTATTTAATAAAACAGAAGATAAAACAAAAAAATCATCATTATTTATTTAAATAAATATCCATACTAGTTTGTATTAAAGAATTAATTTGTTTCCTATCAATTTTCCATTTAAATCTGTTGCAAGTAATTCTATAGATTTTGAATGCTTTCTAAAGCAATTTATTAGATATTGGTGGGCCCATATCTTCTTTTTCTTCTTCTTCGGGTACTTCTTGAGCTGCTGTAACAATTCCACCATCATTAAGTATTTCAGTCCTAAATCAAATCAATCTCAATATAACTTCTTTCTGTAATAAATATATTATTATCAAGTGATGAAATGATACAGATAATAAATATAACAATAAAATATATTATTCACGAAACAGAAGATAACCTCCTAGTTGCAAAGCCATCTTTAATGGTGATATCTCAGGTGTGAATATAAAATGGTTAAACATTTACTAAATCTATTTTGCGATGCTTTTTGTTTGATCAATTTCATCAGAATAGCAGGCTTTAAAATTCTCACAATCTAACAAGTATTTCCCAATGGGTTAGTAACACCGGAGTAATCATTGGAAAACTGGAATGTGAAAATTCTTGAGTATTCCATTGGCGTTTCATATTCCAGTTGGAAACATCACTGAGTATGCACATATTATGCATCATCCTATAATTATGTATAATATATATAGAATATTATGCTTCAAAACAAGCAAAAGTGCAAAAGAAAAGTAATAAATGTAGTAGATATAATATAAAGAGTAATTTTCATTTTATGTTTATTTTCATGGTTTCAAACACTTCTTTAAATAATGATAATGAATGAATAATTTATATTAGCATAAAAACAAAATATCTTTTTAAAAAAATAATTTATTTTATCTATTTGATGCAAAAATAATATAAAACTAAAAATCATCATATTTGCTTAAAAAATAAATTTAACAATCTCTCTTCCATATTCAATTATTTCTTGAGTTATGGTGAAAATATAATTTTTGTTAATAGGTTTTCCTCTATTGTTTCTATTGTTACCGTTGGTGTTTTCATTATTATTATAAAAACTTTTCCATGTTAAATATTTTAAATTAAATATTTTTTGTTCTTCCACAGACTCTTCGCCTGCATCTTGTAACATTGTATTTATTGTAATTTGAAATTTTTCATTACTTTATATTTGTCAAATAATAATAATAATAGCATTAATGTCATTAATAATATAAAGATTAGGAAAATAATAATAATAATAATGTTAATGTTACATACGTGTATCGTTTTTTATTCATTTTTTGTCTAATGCTGACAATTTCTAATTTATTAACAAAATCACTTTTTCTAAAATATAATAAATCATTTGGGTTCATCGATTTGCTTAATTGAACTTCTTCAATTACTTTTATTATATCATCAGAAACTTTGATATCAGTCTGAGTTTTCACTGAAAATCTAAGATCTGGTCTTGAATCTCCTGATATAATATCAATTAACGCTAAACATAAAAAATGATAATAATATAATATGTAAATACGTGTATTGATTAACTGATTGACTGATTGATTGAAATATTACCATTTCGTTTCATATCACTTTTTGATTCTGTTATCTTCCAAATTTCTAATCATTATATTATTTATTATTAGATAATAATGACTATACCATAATTTTTGACAAATAATATTATATTCATACTAATACCATTTATTTTGTCCCAATGTAGTTTTATTTTTTTTTCTTTTTCTTCATCTAAATAATAAATTGTAATACTAATTGGTTTTCCATTTAGGTTAATATTATTAGGATGTTCCCTGAACCCAAATTGTTCTTTGATTAAATCTAATTTATTCATAATTATTGAAGCATCGTGTTGAAATGTTGTACGAATACCAAATCTGCCACCACGTTTTATCTTAAACCAATCTTTAACATTAATAATATTTTGTGGAATTTTCATAAATAATTCTCTACCAAAATATAACATAAATCTTATTTCTTTGTTTTCAAAATCTACTTGTTCGGCCTTTTCAACTTCGCCAGATATAAAATCAATATAATCAATCAATTTATTAGACAATTTGAATGAACTGAATCTGCCTTGAACTGTTAAAGCTGTATCAAATTGTTTAATCAAATCATCTAACTCTTCATCATCTTTACCATTAGTTGCTTCAGTTGCTGTTGTTGTAGTAATTATTGTATTGTTATAGTTATTACCGTTATTATAATTATTGTTACTAACACCATAATAATTGTTGTTATTACTACCATTATAATTATAATTATTACTACTGCTATTAACAATACCGCCACCACTACTATTATTACAAAAATCAAGATAATACTTGTTTTCTTTTATTAAATGATGATTTGTATCAGGTCCTTCATATTTTAAGAATTGATATCTAAGTTCTGAAATATTACAGTAAGAATCATTATCAATCTCCAAAATTGTTACACCAATTGTTGGAAAATATTTGTTTTTATCAAATTGAATATGATTTCTGCTATTATTGTTATTATAAGCATTACTATGGTTGTTGTTGCTGTTGTTACTATAATTATATTTAGAATTGCTATTCTTTTCGTTATTGTTATTGGTTTTTCTAAAGTTTTCTCCCCCGTAACTATTTCTTTAATGCCATTTTAGCAAGTAATAATATATAAATATATATAAATTTGTAAGAAAGAATAAGAATTATTTGAAATTTACCTTCTTGTATCACACATTTTTTATTATTCTTAAAAAAACATTTTATAGATTTTTTTTCGTGCGATTACTTTTAATTTTAATTTTTAATGTCTGTTATGTTTGTGACACCTTTTGTTAAAACGAGAAATTTTTTACTATTTTTATATTTATATCGTAATTTGCGCTATAATAGTTATTTATTATATATAGAAGTTCTCTACAAGTTTCCCGATACATTATGAATTTTCTTATGCATTCTTGGAGAATTACTTTTTGCTTGCGCCAAAAAATAATATGGATCTGATTTAAAAATGGGGGAAAGTTGTTGATCATTCAATCATCATAAGCAAAATTTTATATATATATAAAATAAACTAATTTTCAGGTTCCAAATTTGCATTATTTATTATATATATGTAAATATATATGTGAAGAAAATTAATCTCTTCTAAAATAAATTATGTTAATTAAATTCTTAATATTATTTGAATATCTTTTTTAAATAAATTTTTTAAAAGTTAATAAAAAATAAGTATATCAATATAATATTTATAATACCTTCTGCCAAGTGAGGTGACTAAAATAGTACCAACAACTGCTATTGTAGTTAAACATGCTGCGATGGCAATTCCTAATTTACCCTCTATATTTAATAATATTTTAGATTAATAATTTATTAATTATAAGGATCTTTCATAAATAATTAGAAAATTAATTAACTACAATAACAATAACCTTTATTAAGACTATCTTCTATCTTCTTTTTTAAAGATAGTGCTTGTGAATTTTCAGGATCCATTGACAACAATTCATTATTATAGCTTCTTGCTATATTATAATGCCCTAATTTATTATGTCCCAATGCAAGATAAAAAAGACATTCCCTACGACGCTCTTTGGATTCTTTAAATATGTCTATTAATGTTAATGTAATACACACACACATAAACACTGTGTTAATTATTCCTTGATATTTTTCTTTTCTTGTTTAAACACGTACTCATTAAACCCACCTTTCAACAATTTGACTCCCTCTTCTTGCTCTGTATTCTTCTTACTTTTAATTAAACCCCATGCATAATTAAATTTTGTTTGTGTTGTAACATCTTTTCCTTCTCGTAAATATTGTTTTCGAAGGACCTGTGATATAGTAATAATAATAGTATTGTAAGCACACACATGTAACAATGCATAAATATATATATAATTCCATATTCCTACATTTAATTCTTCAGGAGATAATGGTATATCTGCATCAACTACATATGGTAATTCTGGTGTACTCATTTTTTTTATTTGGAAATAAATGTAAGAGATTGTGTGAAAAAAAAATTTTTTATTATTAAATATCAATCAATGTATTTTTAATGCTATCAGCGTTATTTATATACCTAATTCCAGTAGTATGACGTAATATTTATTTACTGTGGGGACCTTTTCCAGCAAAAATAGTCTCCGAGGTCATCTGACCAAATTTCTATAACAAATATTATATAATTAGTGAGAATATTAGGCCCTGTTTGCTGAAATCGCAAGCCAGATCCCCTTTTTTAAATAATTTGCGCATTGAAAACCGCTTCCAAGGTCATTTGACCAAACTTGTGTTAATCTATTATGTATTAGTATGGTTCAAAGTCATCATAGTCCGAAGTTTAAAAATTTTAGATCTTTCTCATATTTCTTTCTGTATCACGGAAAATGTTCTAACTTTGAAGCCTTATAACAAAAATTTTCTAATAAAATGAACATATGGAAATGAATCATAGGTCTTTAGCTTTTAATTCTATCGGTTTGCTTTTTTCTTTTTCTTTTTCTTTTTTTAATAAGCCTGTGATAATCATTGACCGCTATAGATGTCCTGCACTCGTTTGCTTAGTATGAAAAATAATTGGGTAACAAAGGGGTTTCTTTTGATCCAAAATTGGTTACATGATATAAAAATAGGACCAGTCCTATTCATGATCTACAAATTATACATATGATTTTTATTGTTAAGAATGATGCTGAAGGTGCCATTGATTATTTGTCATAATGGTGATATAATAATAATGGCGATGGTAACAACAGTAAAGCAAGAGCTTTTGAACTTATACACTAAAAGAATAAATATGTATTTATAGTCATGAGTGAATAAAACAACCAAATCAAAACCAAAAAAGTAAAGGAAAAAGAAAAGTAAATATAGATAGATAATAATTTAATAGTTAGATTTGATTTTTTGAAGTTAATCAATCATTTATTTAGTATTCTTGGATGGGACTCAAAGAAGAAACCCAAGTAGAATACAACATTTATATTTACACACATACATATATTTTGAAGAAAAAAATATCATTTATATTATTATTGCTGAAAAAGGTTTGATATTATTTAATTGAATATTAAGAACAACTTATTTTTGCTAAAATTTTTTATTTAAAAAATAAAAAATTTTTTGAATTAAAAATAAGATACTATACATCATTCCTTTACTATTTTTATAACACCATATATTATAACTTTCTAATATATATACACAAATAATACCATATATTATAAATTCCTAATATGCATATACATATATATAACCCCCAAGCCTTCCAAGATATATTATTATATTTAATAACTAACAATTTAACTTTCCTCTGTAATTATCAAATGATTTATTAGAATCAACATTTTTATAATTGGTATTTTTACCATGTTGTGACAAACATTTATCAGCATGGTGAACTCTTTCTTTTGAGTGTTGATAACACCAACTTTGATCCCTACATCTAATCAAATCTTGTTCACGTGCCAAGGAAATCCACACATTATTTGCATTTATTAAATCATTCAAGAATGACAAGTTAACATTTGTTTGTAAATTATTGGTATTTTTGTCATTGCTGTTATTATTGTTATTATTTTTATCGTGATTAACTTTATTTTTGGCTGATTTCAATACTAGATTGTGTTTGTAAGCTTCTTTACTAAATTCAATTTTAAGATTTTGACAAATTGGTGAATATTGATAAATTAATAATTCACAAAATGAATAGCTTTTTCTTGATCTGAATTTTATAATTGGTTTTTTCTGATATTTGTTATTATCATTATTATTATCAACCTCATTAAGAATATCACGACTAACATCCTTTTCATTATTATCACATGGCACAATTTGTTGGTACTCAATTTGTGCCGAATCACCAACACTCTTATTATCTTGTTTAATAATTGATTTCTCAACGTTATTATTAACAATTGGTTTCTCTACATTACCATTTTTATTGTTATGGTTATTATCAAGAATTGATTTCTCGTTGATTGCTAATGACTTTGGTTGCAATACGTTAACAACATCACCTATTGACGATTTACTTCCAAAGTGTAGATCGCATAAAAGCGTTTCAATCAAGCAATTATAATTAAGATTATTGCTACTATCATTCTGCTGATTGTATGTAACTGTCGCGCCATCTAAATTAATCAGGTCAATTTCTTCTAAACTTGTTATATTATTACCATCACCATAACCATTATTGATAACTCTAGTATTATGCTTATAATTTTCTGGAACCTTTTGTTTGCTTTCTTCATTATTTTTTTCTTT